GCCCAGCTGCTCCCCTGCTGCTGATCCAGCTGTGCTGCCCCAGGCCCAGCTGCTCCCCCGCTGCAGATCCAGCTGTTCCCCTGCTGCAGATCCAGCCGTTCCCTTGCCGCAGATGCAGCCGTGCAGCCGCGCTGGCTCCAGAGGCAGTGGGAGGGCGCTGAGCGTTGCCCCACGCAGCCAGCGGGGAATGGGCAGGGATTATCCAGGCCCTTGGGCTCCCAGGGGCTTATCCGGGCTGGACCTGCGGAAGGGGGTGACAGGGCAGGAGCTGGGCTGGGACAGGGCTGCCCAGAGCCGCGCTGGGGCCCCGGGGAGGAGCCCTGGGCCTTGGCCAGCGCCAAGATCCCTTGTGCCCCAGTTCCAGCTGACAGCAGGGCAGGAGCCCAGTGCCACCATCCTCACATGGGCACAGGGGCAGCAGCGCAAACCGGGCCAGCACCAACCGCTCCAGCAGCAGAGCAGAGCCAGGGTCAAGTTTTGTTGATTGGGGAGCAAAGGAGAGAGCAGCGGGAGCAGCTTGTGCAAGCGCTGGGCTCTGCTGTGCCAAAGCTAACAACCGCCAGGGCCGAGCAGAGCTCCTGGCACCCTGCTCTGGGCAGACGTGTCAGGGCATGCGAGCAAGGGGCGCAATTAAAAGATGAAAGAGCAGCTCAAACCCTCCTCTCCCGGGAGCACCTGCTTGCGGCGGCTGTTGCTGCAGCAGTGGGGGCTGCTCCCGAGATGGCTCCTTTTTAAGCGGCAGGTCCAAGGGAGCGGGATGAGCTGACGGATCCGGCTGAGCAGAGCAGAGCGGTGCTGCCAGCCCCAGGTAACGCAGAGTTTGTGCCGTGGCACCTGCAGGGATGCAGCTGGATGATGCTCCTCCAGCGGGAATGTTGCAGCGGGGGGATAGGAGAGGCCAGACACCTGGCGTGGGGACATGCAAAAGTAACCATCTATAGTGAAGCTGCAGCAGGTCCCCAGGCTGCCTTTAACCAGCTGCGTTTTTCAGCATCGAGTCATCGACCCCGTGGTCCCAGGCAGGACAGTTCCTGGACTCGCGTCGCCCGCAGCGATGTGGCTGCTGCTGGCGGCGCTGGCCGGGCTCTA